CCTGTCAGCAGCTAGGTTTATTAGAGAATTAGTAGGAAGTGAACACAAAAGAGGGCAGACACAGTGGTACCAAAGTCATTACAAAATGTAAATTAACATTAGTGGCCTTTCTCACTGGAGTTTCTCTCTTGATCTAGCTCATGTCATGAGTAAGAACATTTTACATTTTTCATATACCGTTTCTTGGGGGGAAAAAAGGAAAAAGAGAAAGATTCCAATTATTTCTCCAGCATGTTGGCATTACTCAGTGATGCTTTTAAAGGGCTGGTTTTTGGTCTATGTTTAATGTCATCAGAATTGCAGTCCTTTCCTGTACAACTTTCCTTTTATTTTGTTTGTCGTACATGGGTAGACTATACATGATTACTAAAAAATGTGCAGGTTGTACTAAGACCCAGATCCAATACAGGTATTTTAGATATTGACTCCTTAGAGTTAGAATCAAGCACTTAGATAGTTCGGTGGATCTGATCCTTGAATTCCAAGTTAGTGTCTTAGAGTAGTGGTCAGGACAGGTGACAGAATTCTGGTGATTTTTTTCTGCTGCAATGGTGCAACATATTCTGAATACGCAAGCAAATTGCAACCTGGAAAGTCACATGAGCCCTCCGGCGCGCAGTATGGTCCAAGAGACTTACCCTTGGAAGATAAATCCAGCATAGAGAGTGACCTTCTGTATTCGTGGGTTCTCAGGCACGTACAAAGGAAAAAAGTAGACCATAGGGTACCTTTGGTCTTATGCTGGACGAAGCCAACCCAAAGCACACAAGCTGCAGCAGCCTTCTGTCAGTCCATGCAAAGCGAATGCTGACGTGAGACAGTGTGCCTGTTGATTCCTGATTTTGGGAATCCATTTAAGGGAAAGAAGCAGACTAGATCACCTTGCTCTTGGTTACGCTGGAATAAAGGGAGGAAAAGAATTTGACGTCATTCTTTCTTGTTGTCACAACAGTCCCAAAGCCTGGAAAATCCTGCTTCCTTAAAACTTTGCAGGTCAGGCTACCAACAAGATGTCAAGATCTTTTGGGTCCTGCAAGCAGATATTCTCATTTCAGTGCATACCTCTAAAGCTAGTTAAAGGTATTGTATACCATATTATGTGTTTTTGCTGGTCTGTAGCAAATTAAAATATTTTGATATAAAGATCATAGTCATGATTAATATACATTCTCATTATAGTACAGCTCAAGCTGCCTGCCTGATTGATGAACCTAAGCAAACAGGACAGTATAAATACCCTGACAAACTGCCAGGGCAGATCTATGATGCTGATACCCAGTGCAAATGGCAATTTGGAATGAAAGCAAAACTGTGCAACCTCAGCTTTGTAAAGGTACTTATTGATATACTTTTAAAAAGTTAAAATTACATTAGAGAACTGCACTACGCTAAACAAGTACAAGTAATACAGTGTTCTTCAGAGGCCTGGGCTATTTCTCTACCTTATCTTGCTTGGCAATTTGCTTTGAAGGCACTGGCTTCTTTTGAGGAATATCACAATCCCAGTGGAGTTTCAGAAGGAAATGTGTTCTTTTCAGGAGTCATAAGAGTGCAGTTGAGTACGTAAGACCCATGAGCCCTTGCCTACTATTAGCAGGCAGTAGAGTTTGGATCAAAACTTGCATGGGGTGTGGGGTAAGAAGGACTAAATTTCTTGTGGTTTGTTTTACTCTTACACATTGACAGCAAAGTCTGGAAAATATCTGTAGGGTTATTTTAGAACAATAAAAACATAACTTACACTCGACTTTGTGCTGAAGGATTAATTTAGATTAACCCATTATTTTAGTGACTGCCACACTCCTGACCGATCTCTTCAGAGAAGACATTTTATTAAATAATCTGGAGTGCTCATTCTGAAAAGAAGTATTGTTGTTTCTTTTGCTCCTGTTATTATCCTGGAGTATTTTGATTTATTTTATACTAACCACATTTATCAGGTGATGGCAGCTGTGTTTCTTCTACAGCTAATAAACAAAGAAGAGAGAGAGAACAGCACTGTGAAGAGACTGTGTTTCCAGATGTCTCCTGTTTTTCAGAAAATCTAGTCTCTTCACAGTATTACAGTCCCTGTAGACTTGATGAAATTTTAGCCTTGAACTTTTTAACACTTTTTGTTCTATTATAGTCTTATACTCAAAATAGTTTAAAAAAAATATAATGAAATGATGCATAAACAAGAAGGCAATATACAGGATATGGCTGTGCTATGAATATTAAACTGGATTTTCTAAATTCTGAAAAGATTTTATTTATATGGATTTTAAAGTAGCAAAGGCATGTATCATTTGATACTCTTTCTAAATACCGGGAAATAATGGGAATTATGAATGTTGTAATGAGTATCCTTTTCTTTTCAGGATATATGCAAATCTCTCTGGTGTCACAAAGTGGGCCATAGGTGCGAGACAAAGTTCATGCCAGCAGCAGAAGGAACCTCTTGTGGTATAAGTATGGTAAGTTGTTTTATAAACAGGACAATGTCATTCTGACTTGTTTTTAGACTGTATTGGATCAAATACCAGCTCCTGTCAAAACCAATTTTATCCAGATCCCTCCAGGTTTGCTATCGTGGACTTCTGGATTGCTCTGTAAAAGTTTGCATTGTGATACATAGTCAAGACTGCTCCTCACAGTGGCACCAATCTGATGCTAGGGAGTGATGCCTCTCCCATCGAGCTGTAGACAAGATATATCTGGCAAATCTAAATCAGTAAGAAAATCCATTAATTGTAACAGAAGTTAGATCAAGGCTTCAAATTCCACTCCGATAAAAACATTCCTTAAGCCATGCAGACTAAGGCCATCAAGCGTATTATCATCAGTGATCACTACTAAACGAGCACGATTATTTGTTTTAGTTGAACCTTCTAATTTAGACTCATTTATGGTTACCCAAAATATTTTCTTTTGCTGTAAAGTTTCTTCCAGTAGAATACTGTTTTGATTTTCAAGTTACAGACAAATGTTCTGTTTCACTTTTGCTCCTAATGCAGTATTTCATAATTGATTGATAAAAGGGAGAAATGTTAGCAGAATTTTATCAGGCTATTTTTAAATTACATGGGAAGCTTTGAGGTTCTGACAGCACAGGACCAAATTAGCATGGATTTTTGGGGGAAGATTAAGCCAAAAAGCCACTCTCCAACAGTACCTCAGAGATCTTCAACTCAGAACTTGGACAAATTTTAGGACAGTACTCATCTATACCAGTGTGGATCAATGTCCTGCTTCAGAGTCCTTGTTCTACTGTGAACTATCTCATTGAGTTCAATAGGTAACCTCATGTTTATTAGGGTTAAGCAATGGAGCTTTTAAATATGTATTTTTTTCTTTTTTTGCATCTATTAGGTACCGCTAACCCTGATGGGATATTTTTTGCATTCTTTTGGCAGTGGTGTCGAAGAGGACAGTGTGTCAAATATGGTGATCATGGACCCAAGCCTGTAAATGGCCAATGGTCTGCCTGGTCCGAGTGGTCAGAGTGTACTCGCACTTGTGGAGGTGGGGTCACATACCAGGAAAGACACTGCGATAATCCAAAGTAAGACATAGCTATGAAAAGGTATTATTTTTATACTAACTATTTTATTAGAAAAAACAAACAAACAAAACAGAGTCCATTTCTGTAGGGCAATAGTACATGTGAAAATGTTTCTAAGACCTTTCTTTCATGTCCGATATGACCAGTCAGCAGCTGAAAGACAGAAATATGTCCTGATGCTAGAAACTAGTGGCTGTCTGAAGACTGTTAGAGTACTAGAATATCTACAGCCCAACTTTCTCAATTTATTTTGTGACAGCACAGTTTATCAAATACTTGCAGAAGCAGTGAAACACCACAGACTTATTCACACCTAATAATTTAAGAACAAGGGAAAAAGGACTTAAAAGCTATTAAGACTTCTGATGAGATCGTATTATCCAGGATAATAAACCAAAAATGTTTAAAGTCAGTATCAAAATGGTTGTAGATAGATGTCTTTCTATGTCTGTCACGTTCTTGGCATTCTTTTATGTTTCACAGGTCAGAATAAAGTCGCTGAACCCTAGAATTTTATGCTAACTCATGAAACATTTCTGGTATTTGCCTCTAGTGAATGCCTAATCACTGTAAATACTACTATTCCTTCCAATACGATTTCAAAGTCGAGGTAAAGTGCTATCTGACCAGCATCTTTCCCAAGTACACAATTCACTTCAACTTAAAAGAAAAAAAAAAGGATTTCACTGTTTTATTTCATACACAACTTTAACAGGCATAGACACATGTATTCTTCATTGCACACAATAAAAGCAGCATTTAAACTGCAGTAATAAAAAACAGAGAAAATATGACACAGTTTATATGAGGCTGTAAAGAAGCCTCACACCTACTATACAGTGCTGCAGTAATAATATCCACGCTTCATATACTATGTTATAGGAAAATGTGAGTTAGTTAAAATAGTCTTTATTACCCTCACTCAGTCAAGCCAATTTTTGCAGATCCATAGAAGAGCATTTTCTCAACCTTTTCTGTTGTTTCTCAGTGTAGTTAGATAAATAAAATTACTTGCATAGTTTCCTTTATTAAACTATTTAGCAAGAGAATGCAGGGTCTCAGTTACATGTCATTCATACACTTTGGTCTTCCTGCTTTGGTCCCTGGTTTGATTTTCCCTGCTAAATCTGTATGTATGCACATTGTGCTTTGCATTTATTCATAAGCCTTCCCTTGCTCTCTCTGTGTGACAGAAGAATGTCCAGTAGTTGCAATGTTTCTGTTTGGTGCGCTATTATAACGGATAATGATTTCCAGTGGTCTTCAAACAGAAGCTCTTTAACATGAAGGGCGTCTGTTACTGTAGCATTATGTATTTAAAACTTGCATTCAGAGTGATATGTCTCTTTTGATTACAATAAGACTTGATGCAAGACTTGATACCAGAACTTGATCATGTTTATACTAAATCTAATTTTATTATATGAGTGATAATTCAGTTAGAGCAAAGAGAAGATACTATAAATCCCTCTCAGAGTTAGAGTGATGAAATGACAGGACTATAAGTAAGCCATCCACATAACAGTGTACAGATATCCAGGTAGCTGTATTTCCCATCACAGCACTTTTGTATAGATGTGGAATCATTAGAAAAATGACACTAAGCATTGTCAATGTTACACCACGTGGAACGATTTATAACGTAGTCACTCTTCATTGTTCACCTCTACAGATAAACAAAGAATGATGATTTCTTTCTTTTTGAACTTCCGCAATATATTTCAGATGTTTATATATTTTAGTACATATATATGTATTATTTCATATGTAATATATTTATTTCACTTTTCCTAATCCAGATTTGTGTAGGAGCTAACATTTATTTTGTTCAAAAGCTTGATAGACAATTTTGGATAGCAAAATTTTGAGAATGGCAGTGAATAAAATATATTTCTGTAAGAGACTAGAACAAGGCGTGTGGATCTCTGAAGAACTGACTGGACTCTAGAATTAGGTCTTTAAAGAAGTGGTGGATTTTCAAAGTAACTGACTTCTTATGAACACTGAGGGAGATTTCTAGGTTTCCAGTGATTTTAAAGGTGACATATCTTATCACAGCCCAAAGACAGGTGAAGAACACCAATTCAGGCTGCTGCTTATGAAGGTCTCATTACCTGTGTTTGTATGTGAAATTCTCCTCCTGCAAATAATATCCAACCAATTCAATTCCCTTTCTCTTGACAGTTTTAAGACAGATCTTGTGACCACACCCAAACAGCTCTGGGTATGGCTTCTGAATTACCACCAGAGTTATGTTCGAATTCATACTATCCAACACCTATAGAGGTCATCTGTAGAACACAGAACTATGCAGATTTGCTAAAATCATTATGTTTCTGTAAATTGTCAGTGTAATTTCATGGATCTGGTTTTCATACATCACAACATTTTGCAGTTGAGGTACTTTTCCAGGATACAAATAGATTACAAATTTAATAGTTTAGCTTGGAAAGAACCTGAAGAGTGCCTGAGAGATTTAAATTAATACCTAAATTGTATTTGTGGGACTGCATGCTACCCACTTCACAATAGTGCATTGTTCAGTAAGAGTAGAACGGAGTTTTAGGCACGTCTGCAATCAAAAGACTAAATCAAAATTGCTTGAATGCATCTTTTTAATATCTTGTGTACAGTATCTGTAACAGTGATTACAGACAATGCAGACGTACACTGATGCGAAGTAATGATGCCATTTAAAATACTAATTAAAAATTAAGACTGTGAAAGACCTTGTAGATCTTTCAAATTCACGCAGAATAAAATAGTCTAGCTTTGTGATAGTATCATAGTTTGGCCATAATATGAGCATAAATGTTCTCGCTTGAATTTACATTACTAAAAAACACAAAAAACCAGAGGAGTCCAGAATTTCAGCATAAATGTAATGCATAAAATACTTTCCTTGATCAGATTAATTTCAGGATTTCTTGCTCTCCTTGTTGCACTGCAGTGAATATCCATTTTACTTTTGTTGTTCATGAAGTGCATTTTTAAAGGGTACTGCAGAATTAATTTAAGCTACTCTTGTAGCGTTTTAATATTTGAGTCTTATGTGAAGTGCAGTATTTACATCTTTGCACTTACACTCGTTTTACAAATCATTCTTTGGAGACTGTTCTTTTGCTGGCCTTTCTCACCAAATTTCTCCCTTTTCCAACTATCCTCAACAAGGCCTAACAGCACCTATTCATGCAGTTATCTGTGGGTGCCAACACTGCGGAGGTACACAGATGAATGAAAAGTTTAGGCTCTATCTATATTAGGAGCACTGTACCACTATGGAAACACTGGAATCCCCTCTGTGCAAAGCTTTCCGTTGTAAGCGCAGTTACACTGCCAAAGCTTCTATAGGCAATCAAACCAAAATCTACTGATGGTAAAAATGTCACCAATAAAAGCATGATTTTGTCAGTGTAGATAATAGTCTTTTCTCAGAAATTTGGTTTTGTAGATCTACATCTAGTTTCCTGTCAATTACTTAACTCTTACTGACATCTTGTTGGTAAAAAAGAAGGTGGGGATGTTTCCATAACTCTCTGGCCAACAGTTTCAGTAATGGGAGTGTACTGTAATATTAAAATGCTGTAACAGAGCTGGGAAACAGAACGCCTCTTTCAGTGCTGCCTTAGTTTGGTGGAATTTTATACCATCCTCAAATGCAAGACTGTGGCTAGAAGTCATGATCTAGCCATAAATAGTTCTATTATATCGCTTGTTTGGTGGCATTTACTTGGAAGGAGGTTGCTTCTTTTTCTTACACTAAAACAGATTTGTTCTCTGGGGCTGAAGGAGGTCAAAAATTATACATGTGCTGAATCTGTAAGGAGAGTCTGTAGAGAATTAAGGACCCAACGGTTTGGCTGCCTTAATGCAAAGCTCTCACCAATTGCACAAAGTCAACATAAATACTCCCTGACTTCACTGATGTTACACATCCTCCCTGCACTTCACAGACTGAATTGCCATCACGTAGGACAGAAAATCTCTCTTTCTTTTAAGACCTTTGCCATTATACCCAGTTTCAGCATAGCTAGTAGGTGACCTCAAGAAAAGTCACTGGAAGTAGTTGGATTTTTCCACAATACATTTTGCTGATGCTTTAACCCAGTTTTAAATAGAGTAGCTGGTGGGTTTCCACCTCTTCCTTTGAAAGACTGTTTTGTAGCCCAGAGTTCTGGAAAAGGCAGACACTGTATACATTCAAAGCTGATTCAAAACACAAAAAACCCAAGCCCCAGCTTGCTTAGTGGGTTAGACATATGAGGGTTAAAATTTATAATAAAGCAAACAGAAAAAGCTCCTGGATTTTCTCAGCCAGGTTGCACCAAGCTGTCTCCATATTACTCCAGTCAAATGCACATCAAGAGAGGTTGCATGGGATAGTTGCTATGAGGAATAGTTATAGTGTTTAGGGATTTAAACAAACAATACGTTGCAAGTGTATTTTATACTATTATTATTCACTATTAATTATTAGTTAGTTAATATATTATTATTATTCGGTATTTTCATATTATTCTACTTTTTTTCCTAAAATGTGTGTTACATGGGCAAGCTGACCACTGAAAGATTATAGCTTGTCTTCCAAGTACATACATTTCCTGACTTTTAGAAGCCATTATACAAGTGTGTGCAAGTGAAGCATTGTTATGTTTCTTTTCACTTGATGCACGAAATTGCATAATATGACAAGCGATTCTTAGAATTTGGTGTTTTGAAGATTTGGCTTAGTACAGATGTGTATCTGAGCATGTGAAACTGCAAAAATAGCGTCAGTGAATTCTTATGTAGATCCATAAGGAAAACAAAAGTGAGTGAATACATTTCTCATCAGCTTGTGGGACCTCTCAGTCACTTTAAAATGAGCAAGTCTTACATTTCACATTGTTTTACAGTCGTGTGCATAGACCAAATAGTTAAAAAACTTTTATTCTGATAACATGAGATACTAGCAAAGTAATAGAATATGCTCTTTTCATTCTGGCCAAAATTAAGGGAAATGCCCAGGTAAGGTTTGCTGAAGTGGATGTGCATGTTTAAAGCTATCCATGAATCCCAACATTTTCCTAAAGCAGGACAACTATGCACAGTCCTTTTTTCCTTCAACTGTTTAAAAGCCCATTTTTTCAAAATGATTTACAAAACAAATGAAGAACCACATGTAATTATTCATCCTGTTTATGTTTGATCAGTGTTATGTTATCCTTTATTAACTCTCATTGTGATAGGTAATGCTTTGCACATGTTCATTCCTGGGTCACAGCAGAGTAAAACCAGCTATATAATAAGACTGAAACCAACCAATACAAAATAGCCCTATAAATTTAGATTAGTGAAAACATGACTCGCCTCTAGATGTTTGCATCTTTGCTGAGTTTGCAGCAATCCAAGTAGATAATTCATGGTAACTGCTTTGCTTGGTTTTAGGAACCATGAAAATTAATGGCCCGTATAAGAAATACTGATCTAATACAATACATTCTCTCATTTTCTCTGTGTTCTCATACACATGTAACTTGCCAATCATGCACAAAGTAGGTTTTGCAAAAGAATTTTTTTTCTTTTTTTTTAGGCCACAGTATGGCGGCAAATTCTGCCAAGGTTCCAGTCGTATTTATCAACTTTGTAATAATCAGCCGTGTCCAGCAAATAGCTTGGACTTCCGTGCCCAGCAGTGTGCAGAATACAACAGCAAACCTTTCCGGGGATGGTACTACAAGTGGAAGCCGTATACTAAAGTGGAAGGTAATTATGCCACAGCTCTGATGGACAAAGGCAATTACAGGAAGCGAGCTATAAGCCGTAATTCATCCATATTCTTTGGGCAAATATCACCCTGATGTAAGCCAACAGAAATTCAGTTTGCTTATTTGAGATGTGTTTACTTTCTGGCACAGTTGAATCCAGGCTCCTGTGTGATACTGCCTGTGTGAACATGCAGAATGGATTTTGGTTGTGAATTTACATCTTTGTCCTTAGCATGACTCCCTGGCTGTTGCTACCCCTCTCTCATTTTCTATTACGTATCAGTTAGTGTAAAACCAAACCAAAACAATTTCCATGGATTTCTGAGCACGGAAAATGTGAGCTCCCACAATAACACTACCAGAATCTTCCTTCCTTTGGAATGTTCTCAGATTTCAAAAAGTAACAATAAATCAACCTTTTGACTTTTCTGCTGCTATAGTCCCATGAGAACTGGAAAAACAAACAATGTACTGGCATATATTTTTTAAAGTCATCTTTTACTAAGAGATCTTTATAAAGTTCAGGTCTCAATAACTATTTCTTGTCTTTTTTACAAGCAAAGTTTAGTTTTACTATACATTTCTTAATTTTGCAAATATTTTGAATCAGTATTCATTTTTATCAGATACAGCAAATATTTTCTGCAGTTTGAAAGCACAGTTTGTAGCTGCAATTGCTACTACTTGAATAAAAGTGACTGGACTATGTCACATTGTAGCTGCTTCGTTTAGCACCTGTACAAATTTGCTTTTGTGTGTAATGTACGACACTAAGAGTACAATTATATATAGATATATATACACACATACACGTAACTTTCATTCATAGCCTGACTCTATTTTCTTCAAAAGTCTTTGCAGGCATTTTTGTGGATATTTAGAAACCTACGTGCAAACAGCCAATGCGAACAGAGGAAAGAGGAAATATGGTTTCACAGCATGTAACAATGGATGTTGTGTCATAGGGACAACAATGCATCTTGTTTAATAGAAATTAGGGTAGCCAACATCGGTTTTAAAGCTTGAGGCTGTGTTTAGTAAAAGTAATAGGAGCTTAAAATTAGGGACAAAGGGCATAATTTTCAAAAGCGAGATGTCCTCAAGTGATGCTGAATTAAAAATGCCTGTCCTTAATCTCTTATCTGCTTTTCAAAATCTCCCCCAAGATCTACATTTATAGTCTGAAAATATCATCTGGTTTTCAAAATTGCTACAGATACCTTGTCTCTGTAGAAAGCACTATTGAAAATCTGGCTGCTTATTTAAGATTAAAAGGATACTATTTTGAATACAATTTCATGCTCTTTGACATTTTGTTACACTGTTTTATTTGTTACACTTACTATTTATATTAGAATTGTGCATTTCAGCAATTGGGACAATATTTACAATTGCATGACTTGTTTTGTCTAAGTAGAATTTATCAGCCCTTTACATGCATAACATACCATCCATTTATAAGAAGAAATCTGATTGACAATGGTTGGGATTTTTTCAAGGAAAAGCACTTCTGTTAGGAGAAAATCTGGCCCCAGTCCTAGCTTTCAGCTGAACATTGTTTGTATCATCTCATATCTTTTTCAAATTTTAACTAAAAAAAATAGATAAAATTATTACAATCTCCCATGTCTTTCAATAAAAAATGAAATTTGAAACTGAACCAGTGGAACTGAAATCAGGGCCACATCAGCAGAGCTAATGCAATGCGTATGTTTACGTGCTGGTTTTGAATTCTTAATTCTGTTTATAGACAAAACCACGTGTTCTTTTAGAATAGCATAATACAAGCTACTGTATTTGGCTGTATTTCTGCCCACTGTGGGGTCCTGATACTTCACCACATACAATTAATCCTTGTCGTCTAGGATGCAGGAAGAAAAAATGACAGGGTGGGGTTTTTTTTTAACTGTGCTGCAGGTCTGCTAATAGTTACTTGTTTGTCTGTTTTTTTCCCAGAGGAAGATAGATGTAAATTGTATTGCACAGCTGAAGACTTTGACTTTTTCTTTGCGATGTCTAGCAAAGTGAAGGATGGAACTCTGTGTTCTCCCAATAAATATGATGTTTGCATTGATGGAATATGTGAAGTAAGATAAAATCAAGTTTCTTACAATCCAAATGTCTGGGGGTTTTTAAGTGGGCAATTTACTCCTTTATGGAAAATGCAGCTGGTTCTTCAAATTCCCTGGTGTCTGTGTCCTTCACTTGTGCCTTTTCGGTTGCAGCAAGTAGGGTGTGATCGTGGACTTGGTTCCAAAGCTGTATTGGATGCTTGCGGAGTTTGTAAAGGAGATAATTCAACGTGCAAGTTCTTTAAAGGCCAATATTTGATCCAACACAAAGCTAATGGTAAGGAAAGCTGTTCCACATGATCATCAACTCATTGCTTTGCTGTATCCCCATGTAATGTATATGACTCCTTGCTCATTAGGGCAGTGGCTAAAAGTCCAGATGTGAACTGAATATCACAGGGAGAGTGAGAGTAGAGTTCACGTTTCTCCTGTTTCTTGGTAACAAGAAAGCTATGAGCATAAGTCTTGGTTAGTTAATTTGCAATCATTTCTCTTGTTTCTTAAGCCACATTTTCCCTTTACGTGTGAATTTCCTCTTGAAAGAGATTTTAAGTGAAAAAATAGCTGTCAACAGCTCTGACTGGAATGGGACTGTAGAAGATATAAAAAGCAATACACAGCATAATGCCAAACATGACAGTATTTCCATGTCCATTTTCAAATTAAGTTGACTGGAAGCTGTCCAGCTGATTCAGTGGATGATCCAGTCACTGGGAGGTGGACTTTACTTTAGTGGAGTGTCACAGGATTCTTGTGAAATAATCTCACTATGCCACAGTTTCTCAGGCATAAGATGCAGATAGTATTTCTTTATCCAGAGGGAGTATTTTGAGGATCCATTTACTGCTAATCATAAGATATGTCAATACTACAGTCATATAGGCCAGGTAATTGTTTAGAATATAGTAATACAGAGATCCAACACTAGAAAAATAATCTAAACTGAATGCTCTGAGAAATTAGCTGTGTGCTGTGCGTGTGGAGATTGCCAGTGGTGTCTCATCTGACTGTAGAATGAGTGAGATTTCTACATGCTCAGAGTGCAAAGGCTCACAGCAGGGAGTTCCAGTGGTATTCAGGGCTTTGTGATCTGCATCCTACTGTACCTCCCCTCAAAAACCTTGTCCGTGATGGAAGTAGTACCTTCCAACTACTGTGGGAAACTACAGGGAAAACATGGTAAAACAATTACAGTGAAACCACCATTAGTCTGTTCTGCATTTTTCTAAGGTGAACTTGCTTTTTCTTGTCTTTAATCACAAAGAAAAATTCCAGGCATTGAAATACCTCAGAGTTACTCTGATTACAGGCTGCATAGGGGGGTTAAAATCAGAACTGGTTTCTCCTTGTGAAAACAGAGTAACTTTGGTGCATCAGAACAGCTGTCTTCAATATCTTTTAAACTGCAAAAATTTCAATTTGGCTCAAAAATGATAAGCCATCTCTATCTGTATATTAACTGCAAAAATGTTGCTTACTTCTTTCATTGCAGACTACTATGCTGTGGTCACTGTTCCAGCAGGAGCACGCAGTATACAGCTCCACGAAATGCAAATCTCCACCAGCTACCTTGCAGTGCGCAACCTCAGTAAAAAGTATTATCTGACAGGAGACTGGACAATTGACTGGCCAGGAAAGTTCTCTTTCGCTGGAACAGTTTTTGATTATCAACGCTCTTTTAACCATCCGGAGAGTCTATATGCAGCAGGACCGACTAATGAGACGCTGGTCTTTGAAGTAAGCTTTCTTCTGTTTATTCTTCCCTTGATGTCTATTACAGAATTGGTAACGACAGCTTTAGCTCTGCACTGTAGCTCTGAGCAAGATTAAAGAATAGCGTTGAGTCATGATAGTATTCGGACTTAATTGTGTGGTCATGCTAGATTGAAAGTCCTTTCACCAGTTTATCAAGGTCTGAAGTTTATTAAACTGTCACAAATTCAGTGAAAAGGAAGGTGCATAAAACGCACCATATAGCATTATTTCTCAGTTGCTGCACAATGGTAATAGAGATTATAAATGCATCCCATAAATAGTATGAAATAAAATTCAGTGATGTAAAAATTAAATCTAACATTATGGCAAGGCTTAGTGGCAACAGTTTCAAATAATGCTTCTGAAACTGTAGGCACATGTAGCCATTTTTATATCTACCTTGGGCCACAAATGGTCAAAGTAACACACGTAGGCTCCTGTGTGATTTCTGTTGATTCAGTTCTATTGGTGATAGCATCTAAAATAATGGATTTTATATATGTTTACCTCTCAGTCAAATTTGTATCACCCACTGTGTCTGCCAGTGTTCCTGTATTGAAACTATATTTAGTAGGAAGTAAATTTGGTGTCGCAATTTTGAAATTGGCCACTAATAATCCTGTTCTAAGAAAAATCTCTTTCTGCATTAGGTTACTTTACTAACTTTTCTTTTAAAAAGCATCAGAACATTTGAGGGTCCATTTCTGGCTGCATTGCCGAAGTCTTTGCTCCCTGTTAGCTCCATTAGTTTGCCTGCTTTGTTAGGCAGCTCTAACAAATCTTTGGCTTTGTAACTCATCTGTTATGTCTGTTTTGATGAACGCTTCCCTGAGAGAAGGAAGAGGCCCTCCCCAGAAAGGATTCCATTCCTTCCCACACCTTCCAGCAATACTCTGGTCAGCTCACTATCAGACACAGCTTTCTCTGGTGTGCCCATGGGGAGCACGAGAGCGAGTGCTGCACCCGTTCTCTGAGGCAGCAATCTGCAGTTCTTCGTCCCATCGTATAACACCGTAACTGAAAACTGCTCCTGCAGAAGTTTAGCAGGAGCAGTTAGTTGAGGACTCTGCATTCTGCCTCCCTTATGCAGGTTTGTTCTGTTAAGCTAAGAAACACTGTAAGTATGGTCTGTGACATGAAATATATTCTTCAAGGATTATTTAAACTTTCTCAACTATTCAGCAAAGTGTATATTTGGAATACTGAAGAGCCTCACTGCTAATCGTACTGATTGAGTAATGTACTTAAACGTATCTTTAAGAGCTGCTGAAGTTCATGGACCATGAACACATGTTAAAGTACTTCAGGATGAACACATGTTTTAGAACAGACAGTTTGACATGGGCTAAAGGCGTGTATTTTCACAAATTACTGTCACAATTTGCAATGCCTTTTTAAAACATTTCTTCTCAGTTGAAGAATTTTCGTTTGGGTTTGTATGTTAATAGGGATGCTTTAGTCCAAGGAAGAGTTCGATGTACAAGTTACAGACATGCTTCCCTGTCTGCAAATTGTCTCCAAAATAGCCTTACACCGAAGAAACAAGCACACTTATAAATACTACAAAATGTTAAGCTGAACTCTCAGGAATATTATTTGTCGTAATACAAAGTAGATTGAACTGTATTATCACAGAGCTAAAGTATGAATAATAAACTGCCTGCAAGATGACTTACTTGGCTGCATATCGTGCATATACTTTGCAGAATAAAGATTAAAGAAAAAAATTTAATGCCAAGTAACACTTCTATTTTCATCCTATCAAATTATGCTAAACAGTTTTATTAAGATTTAGCATTTAACTGGAGGCTATTGCTCCTCTGGGAGCTTATTTAAACTTCCCTTGTATTTTTATTGAAATACCTACACCACTGGCACTGGTAAGATTCTAACGACTGAAAATGTTACAGTTACATATTCCTCAATTACATGTATCTATGAGTTGTAGTTAAGATTTTTTTTCCTTTCAATAATTTAAGCAACATTCAACAAGCCAAATTCCAAAAAGAGATAAAGAGATCTGCTTTATTGTTGATTTACCAGTAACTCTAAGCAGCAAAAATGCCAGTGAAAACTAAAGAAATATGCTTTTATGAGAAAACACACATATTGCCGAAGTTCTGTTTGCAGCAGTAATAATGAAACAAATCCTACTTCAACTATAAATACCAGCCACTGATAGAAGGCTGAAAAAAGGAGTGTTTAAGCATATCACATTGTAGCTTTCACTTCATTTTTATCTCATCTGTAATTTTCAAAGCAGCATACACAAACCCAACATTTTTTTTATCCAAATAAGTTGGTTTTTTGTAAGATAAGGCTTTCCAGGTTTCAGACCTCAACTTCTTCCTGTAATTGTCACTTTTTTTTTTTTCATTTTTTATTAGGTTGTATTCAAAAGAAATTTAATACTTATTTTCTAGACTAGGTTTTGTTTCCAGAAGAATTTAGTGCGAGCCGTTGTAAAACTGCACTCTGCAGGTATTGAGAAATTGAATAAACTGCACGCATAAACACAGGAACTTCGATTATTCAGGTGGGCAGAAAATAGGTTTTGTAGGCCTATTTATTGCCCTTCCCCTATGATCTGAAAGGCAGATTAACACAGCTTGTACCTGTTTAATTTTGTAGTCATAGTTTTGCTAGACATTTGTGCGGTGACTCAAACAGTCCAGGTCTCCAACTGTGTTTCTGAATGCAAATCAGCCTTCACGTATCCAGAAAGTTCAGGTTATGCACGTCCTCTGAGCAACATTCACAGGAGAGGATGGGACCAGTGCTCTACAGGTATGGGTCCAGACAGGTCTGGCACGTCTGTGCTCAAGGCAATCACTTCCTTTGAAACGCAGTCATGCTCCAAAATATTTTCTTGAAAGAGACATCTGAAGCATGGCTTAAGAGAGAAGAATGAAATCCAAAATAGAAAAATAATCTTAAAATTCCCCATTGTCTTGAATATCACAAATTCAGCCTTGCAGTTCTAAAAAATGTTTTGTATTTGTGTCTTATTGTACAGTATGTTCCTACGCATCTATTTTTCTATCAGGGTTTTCAATAGGTCGTGTATAATTTAAGCAGAAACACTATTGAAAAATGGGTAAGAGACAAGAAAAAGACTGATAAAGTGCTTTTCTTATTTATCCTGGAATTTCACAAAAAAATAAACACACATATATAAATTTACATATATTATATGTATGCAATTGTTGGAACAAGTCATACCAAAGACGGCAGTGAATCTGTAATTTAACTAAGTTGTGGGAGAAAAAAATACCAATATAGTGGCCAAATATTTTCTGAGGAGGAGGAGAACATTGTGAGATGAATGTGTCATTAAATGTGTAGGACTAGTATTTTCCTGAGCACAGCTACTGGAAATGTAAATGCATGATGAGATTTTAGAATTCATCAGAACCCTTTCTGAGTTGTTCAAGAATTTATTTCACAGATGGAAGGAAGGCAAAAACCAGTAAGCCGATGCCCTTCAGAATTTGTGTATCTGTATCCTTCTGAAGTTAGTGTGAGTGATAGTTTGGTGACTGTGGGTTTGTAAAAACAATAAAAGCTGAAATTAAAAATATTAATGAATTCAGAAGGCAGTTCCCAAAATTGTCAGATTCAGGTTAGATGAAATAACAAACAGAGGAGTATAAATATGATAGTTAAATGATAATCTAGGATTAGAAATTAATACCAGGTTTTTAAAATATGCTTTCTGTAGCATAATTGTCTCATCTTAAATGGAAACATGCTGGATTTTTTTTTTTTTAAATGTAGTTGAATATATTCAGCTCATTTATCTGTCATTTGGTCATAGGTAATCTAAGGTCAGGACTTTCAATTTAAAGACCTTGTCACTGTTTTGCTGTTAACCGAAAAATATTTAACCTGAGGAGAAACAAACAGTAAATTCATCATTCGTCTAGCTTTGCAAATAAGGGCTGCCAGCGGGCACCACTAACAGCTGAAAATACTTTCCAGAAGAGACTAGCAGAGCACAAGGGACATGGCCGTCACCAGGCTCTATCAATCAGAACTCGTATGAGGTTCACTCATGACACCCGTTTGCTGAAATATTGTCACCCTTCATGACTTGCTTTAATAATGGGAAAGATTCTGAAAGGCCAAAAGAAACTGAACTGTTACGTGGGCATGAAAAATATTGCATGACCAGGGATTGATAAATTAGCTTAAAACCAGAGAGTTTAATAATTTGGTTTTCCATTCTGTCAATAAATGGATGAAGAATTGACTGATTTGAGAAGTCAAATATGATTTGAGAAAGCAGTGTAAAGTTTTTCAGGATGAGGCAGTATCAGTATCCTCACTAAAGTTTACCTCAAACTTGGTGAAATATTGAATGAAAAAATTGTGAAATCTTTGTGACAAAAAGATAGTTTATTTTGACAGCAATAAGTAACAGATGGAAAGGATGGTTTGCAAAGAGGCAGACATTCACGGGAAGAGAAAGTGAATGGAGCTTCAAGGCAGGAACATGTCTAATCAAAACCAGTAACTCGCTTCCTCTTTATCAATAGGGGGAAAAAAGAGAAAGGAGGCCAGGTGGAATGACTTTACCAATGATCTAGCTGCCACTGGGAGAAAGCCAAGTTGCAGTTATAAAGCACTACATTTATTATTAGCTACTAGATGATAAATTTGTACTGATTTCCCCTAAAGAGAAAGTAAGCTAAAGAGAACTAAGTTGTGCTTATAAGATACAGATGTTGATTCAATACAACAGATAAAAGGGTTCTCCTTTAGTGAGGAGAGATTAGCTGGACAGTATCTCTCAAGGTTGTACATTTAGCATGTGAACAGTAAAAAAATGGAGACACAATAACAACAGAAGATAAATTTGAAACAGCTGAAGGAGAAATGAGATCATACAGGACCTTTCAAGGATACTTTTTTCTTTTTTTTTCCCTTTTAATGACCTTAGTGGACTTTCTTGAAAAACAATAGTTTGTCATAAGCTTTTA